CGCAGGACTCGATCCCAGGACCCCGGGACCATGACCCGAGCCGAAGGCAGACGTCCAACCGACTGAGCCACCCAGGCTCCCCGTTTTGTTTTGTTTTAAAGATTTTATTTATGGAGCTCCTGGGTGGCTCAGTTGGTTAAGGATCTTGCCTTCTACTTAGGCCATGATCCCAGGGTCCTGGGATAAAGCCTGATGTCATCGGGCTCTCTGCTAAGCAGAGAGCCTGCTTCTCCCTCTCCCTCTCCGTCTCCCTGCCACTCGGCCTGCTCGTGCTGTGTCTCCCTCTCTCTTTGTCAAATAAATAAATCTTTAAAGAGAACAAAGGAATTCATAATGGTCTTTTAAAAAAAAGATTTTATTTAGAGAGAGGGGCCAATTACAAGTGCGAGTGGGGGTAGGGGGCATGGGGGAGAGAGAATCCCAAGTACAGAGCCCAATGCAGGGCTCGATACCAAGATCATACCCAACTGACTGAGCCACCCAGGTGCCCCCCCTTTTTAATATTTATTTATATAAGTTATCTCTACACCAAACGTGGGGCTCAAACTCAAAACCCAAAGATCAAGAGTCACATGACTTTCCAGCTGAGCCAGCCAGGCGCCTCAAACTTAGGGGGGCGCCTAGGTGGCTCAGGTCCTAGGAGTGATTCCCGCATCGGGCTCCCTGCTCAGTGGGGAGCCTGCTTCTCCCTTTGCCTGCTGCTCCCCTGCTTGTGCACTCGCTCGCTCGCTCTGACAAATTAATAAAATCTTTTTAAAAAATCAAATTTAGGGATACCTGGGCAGCTCAGACAGTTAAGCGTCTGCCTTTGGCTCAGGTCATGAACTTGGGGTCCTGGGATTGAGCCCAGCTGTGGGGCTCCCTGCTCAGCAGGGAGTCTGCTTCTCCCTCTTTCTGCCACTCCCCCTCACTTGTGCTCGTTCACTTGCTCTCTCTCTCAAATAAAATCTTTAAAAATAAATAATCTAATTTAAATCATAGTTTTCTTTAAAAAAGTAGTTTTCTAGTTATTTACACTTTTGAACCTGTATTTTGGTGCATTTTATTTATTCTGCCGAAAACATGATTAATAGGCAAGAAACCACTTATTGTACATAAATGGCACCAAACTATACCTATCATTCTAATCTGCTTTTTAAAAAATTAGCAGTTTATCTTGGTGGTATTCCCAAGTTGTTACACACATAGATTTAACTTTTTCCTTTTCCCTGTCCATAATAAATATTAATAATTATAGATAACACTATTTCTATTTAGCTCATTCCCTAATTGATGAACTTTTTTAGGGTATTTTCAGTTTTTCATTTGTATACTCTTATAGTCCATATCCTACTTGCCTTTGCACACAAAGCTAGTGTGTTTCTAAAGTAGATATCCAGAATTGCTAGCCTTCTGATGATTCTGCTGCTGCCTTCCAAAAACTGTTGTGCTATTTATTTAGTATTACCCTTTTCCCCTCTCCTGCAACAGTGGATTCTTAGCACATTTTAATGTTTTTAGTTTGCATGTTCTGTGATTACTGTTGGGATCAAGCATTTTTGTACAGATCTATGAGTTATTTGCATTTTTTTTTCTATTTTTTCCAGAGCTCAGTGGATATTTTATATTTGGTTCTTTAATCCATAGCATACTTTTGTGAGTGATGTCAGGTAGACATCTAACCTTATTACTTTTTTGAAGTAAATAACCAACGTAAAAAGACAGAAAGATAAAAAGAATAGATTTGCAGCTGTTGCCATCATCTACTTAATAACCCAAGCAAATCATTTGAAAACTATTAGTACTATTAAGAGAGTTCTGCAGAGATTATGGGAATCAAAGTCAACTTTTAATGGATTTCAGAGCTTTTCTTTAAAACACCAGCAATAATCTTTCAGAGAGTATAATAGGAAAACAGACGGCATTCATAATAAAAACTATAAAGTACCTAAAAGTCCACCTAACAGGAAATGTGTAATGATAAAATGGGACTTGCCTGACTATTTAGCAAACATGTGTATCACACTATTATAATGAAAATAGTGGATATATTGCTCAGGTATAAACAGATTAGTGAGACAGAATATAGTCTACAAATTCCTGTAATAATATAATAAATGATAATGGTAGCATTTCAAATCCAAAGAATGAGCTGTTCAAAATCTTTTTAGTGTTCATTGATACTAGATTCAAAACTGATTTCAGTGTAGGTGCTAGGCTCACCTAGAATTTCTGTTTGTTACTAAAAAATAAAAAACTATAAAAGAGTAATGTTCATATATAACACCATAAAAGCATAATAACATCCGAGGACTTTTTGTTCATGCTTTATCTTCTGTCTAGAACTATTTTCAACCTACTGCTCAACCACTGCTTTTACCTACCCAATTCATAATTTCAGACCTCAGCTCAGTTATGGAATAGATATTCAAATGTTTACACTCAGATTTTTCTAACCCCAAACTTAGACTTCTATAGGTAAGTTGTGGGTTACATCCAAATTTAATCATATTTTAAATGTTTTGAACTTCTACATAAGAATTAGGATTTACTTTTAACTGTTAATGTTAATTTACTGTTTTCTTGTTGGTGATGCGGAGTCCCTCCCCCACCTTTGTTGTATAAATGGTGAGATTGATTTACTTTATTAGGAAGTCTGTAGAGAAGCTGTTGCTACCCAAAGGGCTTCTAAGATGTGACTTTGCATGGTTGCTTAGCTACTGCTAGTTAAATAAACATCCTAGTCATTAAGCATCTGCCTTCGGCTCGGGTCATGGTCCCAGGGTCCTGGGATCAAGCCCCGCATCAGGCTCCCTGCTCCACGGGAAGCCTACTTACTCCCTCTCCCTCTCCCCCTGCTTGTGTTCCCTCTCTCACTGTGTCTCTCTCTATCAAATAAATAAATAAAATCTTTTAAAAAAATTTAAAAAAATAAACATCCTAGATGTTTTGCTCTGAAGATTTTCTGGATAGAAAGTTGGCACTCTTTTCTAGCATTTTTTTCCTTTTTCGTTTTTTTTAGAAGAATGATTACAAAGCAGTGAACAGAATAAAATAATGACCAATGAATTTTTGTCTACTGTTATTATCATAAAGTGACACCGTACTGTTTAAATTTTAGATAAGTATCTAAGGATTTATATCAGCAGCTCTTAGCAGTAGTAGAAAAGTTTTAATGGGAGCCAGAATTGTAGTATAGAATAATGGAAAGGGGTGTTTGCTCTAAAGCAAACCTACCTAGTTTTAAATCCTCATGCTGCCACTTAAGCTGTAGAAGCTTTAAGCAAGTAGCAACCTCTTAGCGTTTCTTCACCTCTAAAATGGGAATAGTAATTCCCTTGTGAAAGTGTTGTTTTAAAATAATGTATGTAAGTCATGTAGTTCAATTTTTACACTTATTAGCCCCTCAAATTGTTGGTAATGATGTGACATTGCCCCTGTTGCCCTTACCTCGTATTACATATGGTACTTTAAATATTTCCCTCCATGCTTTGTATTCTAGGCAAATAGATAGATTTGATTCCTGCTCTCACTCTGGCATTACCTGGAACAAATTCAACCCCTCTATATATCAGTGATGCTACCGTTTTTTAAGATGAGGGATTACGTAGGTTATCTCCAAGTTTCTTTCCTGCTCTAAAATGTTATGGACCATTTTCTTTGCCCTTCCCTTAAATCTAGAATAAAATACTGGCTAGGAATTTCTTAGAGAACAGGATGTTTTCCTGTTTTTTTTTTAAGATTTTATTCATTTGACAGAGACAGCAAGAGAGGAGACAGCGAGAGAGGGAACACAAGCAAGGGGAGTGTGAGAGGGGAAGCAGGCTTCCCGCTGAGCAGGGAGCCCGATGCAGGGTGGGGCTCAATCCCAGGACCCCGGGATCATGACCTGAGCCGAAGGCAGCCACTTTAACGACTGAGCCACCCAGGCGCCCCGGATGTTTTCCTGTTAATAACATAAATATATTGGTATAAATCCTTCTTGAAGAAATGGTATGAAAATTAAAATTACTCAACATAAGCCCTTTTCCTTTAGCATTCATCTTATTTTGTAAAATTTAAGATTTCTCGGGGTACCTGGGTGGTTCATTAGGTTAAGCATCTGCCTTCGGCTCAGGTCATGATCTCAGGGTCCTGGTTGAGCCCCACATCAGGCTCCCTGCTTGGTGGAGATTCTCCTACTACTTCTCCCTCTGATCCTCCTCCCTGCTTGTGCTCTCTCTGTCTCAAATAAATAAAATCTTTAAAAAAAAAATTTAAGATTTCTCACAATATTGAAGTTTTTCTACCACTTCACTGTTAAATTTCAGAACTTTGGTAGCCTTTTGCAGCAAGGATGGCACAGTAAAATATATTAAATAGGACACTTACAGAAGACGAGGGCAAGCCCTTTTATGAAGGCTACTTCATGTCCTTGGATTTATCATATTGTCATTCATTCAGCAAATATGTGCTTTAGTATCCACTAGTATCTAGTAGATACAAGTATACAAAGAGATGATTAAGGCCAACAATCTCCTTCAAGTTTAATTCAACTCCTAAGGAACAACATCTCTATTTTTATTTTTTTTTAAAGATTATTTATTTGAGAGAGAGAGAGAATGAGAGATAGAAAGCACGAGAGGGAAGAGGGTCAGAGGGAGAAGCAGACTCCCTGCTGAGCAGGGAGCCCGATGTGGGACTCGATCCTGGGACTCCAGGATCATGACCTGAGCCGAAGGCAGTCGCTTAACCAACTGAGCCACCCAGGCGCCCAACATCTCTATTTTTAAACTATTCTCAGAATAGTTACCTTAAAGGGGGGAAGAAACCAAATCTGTATTTAGACTACTATTCTGAAGGTGATCATCTTTTCTCAGATGTTCAGAAACTTGATACTGTTCCATATTATGGTGGCAGGGAAACTCTTGCATAGCAGAGAGAGAGTCCTTAAATTTGTAATACCAAGGACATTAAATAGTAATGGGTGAAAACATATTATTCCAGCATTAATCTCAAAATAGCATTGTTATATTTTTCAGGAAACTACTAAAGTTCCTGTGGAAGTAAAGTAGAATTTCATAAGAACATAATGGGTAAGTTATATAAAAGTAATTTTATATTTCAACTAGTAGAAGCTGGTTTTTCTTCTCAAAGATAGGCCTTTGACATTGGTGAATGCAAATAAAAAAATGATCAGAGTAGACTAAAATTAGTTGTTTAAATCCACAGCATCTGTTTATTACTGAGGCACACCTCAGAGATACTGTGGGTTTGGTTCCAGACCACAGCAATAAAGCAAGTCAAATGAATTTTTTGGTTTCCTCATGCTTATAAAAGTTGTGTTTATACTGTACTGTAGTCTATTAAGTATATATGATAACTTAAAAATACTTTATTGCTAAAAAAATCCTAATCATCTGAGCTTTTGGTGAGTCATCAGTGATCACAGATCACCATAACAAAAACAATAATAATGAAAAAGTTTGAAATATTATGAGAATTACAAAAATGTGACACAGACACACACAAAGTGAGCAAATGCTGTTGAAAAATGGCACCAACAGACTTGCTCAATGCAGGGTTGCCACATACCTTCAATTTGTAAAAACTGCAAAGCACAGTAAAACAAGGTATGCCTGTATGTATTTTTGAAAGGTAGATAAGTAATGTTTTTGTGCCAAGTATAATTTGTGATTGCTAGTAAGTAAGAGCAACTGAAGAAATTAGAAACTCCCAAAAAACATATAAAGTGCTTTAATTTGCAAAAAAAATGCAAGAATTATAAATTTAATTGATAATTGTTTTTATTTTCTAAGAGATTGGCAAAACCTGCTAAATATTTATATGCTTGAGTAGTCTGTAATTTACAAGTTACTTGCATCCTTATGAGTCCCCCAGCTTTTTATTATGAAAAATTGCAAGGATGATACACTATGTAGCCTTCAGTGATTGTTAATGTTTTGCCACATTTGCTTTCCTTGTGTTTATTGGTGTATGGGTATTGTTTATATACCCATACACACACACATGGGTATTTTTCTGTACCATTTATTTAGTTGTACAGTATCACCTCACATCTAAATACTGGAGAAGGCATCTCCTAACTTGGTCCATATTCAGAATTTCCTGGTTGTTTCCGTAGTGTTCTTTATAGCAGGTATGTTATAGACATACCTTGTTTTGTTGTGCTTCATATTGCACTTCACAGATACTGCGGGTTTTTTTTTTACAAATTGAAGGTTTGTGGCCACCCTGTGTGGACCAAGTCTATTGGTGCCATTTTTCCAACTGCAGTTGCTCATTTCATGTCTCTCACATCTTGGTAATTCGCACAATATTTCACTTTTCCATTATTATTATATTTGTTATGGTATCAGTGATCTTTGATGTTACTATTGTAATTGTTGTGAGATGCCATGAACCATGCCCACATAAGACAGAGAACTTAATCAGTACATGTTGTGTGTGTTCTGACTGCTGCACCGACCAGCTCTTCCCTCATCTCTCTCTCTCCTCAGACCTCCCTATTCCCTGAGACACAAAAATTGAAATTAGGCTAATTAATAACCCTACAATGACCTCCAAGTATTCAAGTGAAAGGAAGAATTGTACCTCTCTCACTTTCAATCAACAGCAAGAGATGATTAAGCTTAGTGAGGAAAGCATGTCAAAAGCTGAGACAGGCCAAAAGCTATGCCTGTTGTGCCAAACAGTTGGCCAAGATGTGAATGCAAAAGAAAAGTTCTTCAAGGAAATTAAAAGCGCTACTCCGGTGAACACATGAATAATAAAAAAGTGAAACAGACTTATCGCTGATGGAGAAAGTCTGAGTGGTCTGGATAGAAGATCAAACCATCATCCCTAACAGTCCCTTAAACCAAAGCCTAATCCAGAGCGAGGCCCTGACTCTTCAATTCTGTGAAGGCTGAGAGAGGTGAGGAAGCTGTAAAAGAAAAGTCTGAAGCTGGCAGAAGCTGGCTCATGAGGTTAAAGGTAAAGCAGCAAGTGCTGATACAGAATCTACAGCAAGTTACCCAGACCCAGCTAAGGTAATTAATGAGGGTGGCTATACTAAACAGATCTTCAGTGGAGATGGAACACCTCGTATTGGAAAAAGATGCCATCTAGGACTTTGATAGCTAGAGAGGAGAAATCAGCGCCTAGGTTCAAAGGACAGGCTAACTCTTGTCAGGAACTAATGCAGCTGGTGATTTTCAGTAGAAGCCAGTACTCACTGAACATTGCAAAAATTCTAGAGCCTTTCAGAACTACGCTAAATCTACTCTGCCTGTGCTTTATAAATGGAACAAAGCCTGGATGACAGCACATCTATTTACAACATGGTTTACTGAATATTTTAAGCCTACTCTTGTTACTTTAGAAGTACATCTCATAAGGTACATCTGCCGCAGATAGTGATTCTTCTGATGCATCTGGGCAAAGTAAACTGAAAACCTGGAATTCACCATTCTAGACACCATTAAGGATACATGTGATTCATGGGAAGAGGTCAAAATATCAACATTAACAGCGGTGTGGAAGAAGTTGATTCCAGCCCTCATGGCTGACTTTGAGAGGTTCAGGACTTCAGTGGAGGAAGTAAATGTGGATGTGGTAGAAATAGCAACAATTAGAATTAGGAGTGGAGCCTGAAGGTGTGACTGAATTGCTACGATTTCATGATAAAACTTGAATAGATGAGTTGAATCTTATGGATGAGCAACGAAAGTGGTTTCTTGAGATGGAATCCACTCCTGATAAAGATGCTGTGATGATTGTTGAAATGACAACAAAGGAATTAGGATATTATGTAAATTTAGTTGATAAAGCAGTGGCAGGGATTGAGAGGATTGACTCCAGTTTTGAAAGAAGTTCTGCTGTGGATCAGATGCTGTCAAACAGCATCACGTGCTACAGAGAAACCATTCCTAAAAGGAAGAGTCAGTCGATGCAGCAAACTTCACTGTTGTCTTATTTTAAGAAAATGCCACAGCCACCTCAGTCTTCAGCAACCACAACCCTGATCAGTCAGTGACCATCAGCATCAAGGCAAGACCCTCCACCGGCAAAAAGATTACTACTCGGGCGCCTGGGTGGCTCGGTTAAGCGACTGCCTTCGGCTCAGGTCATGATCCTGGAGTCCCGGGATTGAGTCCCACATCAGGCTCCCTGCTCAGCAGGGAGTCTGCTTCTCCCTCCGACCCTCTTCCCTCTCAATGCTGTCTCTCTCTCATTCTCTCTCTCTCAAATAAATAAAAATCTTTAAAAAAAAAAAAAGATTACTACTCACTGAAAACTCAGACAGTGGTTAGCATTTTTTAGCAATAAAGTATTTTTAATTAAGGTATAAACATTTTTATTTTAGACATAATGATACTGCACACTTAAACTATAATATGCTGCAAACATAACTTTTTTATTCACTGGGAAACCAGAAAATGGATTTGACTCACTTTTGCATTATTTGCTTTATTGTGGTGGTCTAGAACTGAACCCACAGTATCTCCAAGGTATCCCTGTGTTTTATATCCAGGATCCAATCAAGGATCACTTACTGCATTAATTTGTCTCTTCAGTCTCCTTTAAATAGTGCCCTACTTTTGGGGGCATGAGGAGTGAAGAAGTCTTTCATGACACTTTAAAATTTAGGTTTATCTGAGTGTTTACTCCTGATTAGATTCAGATTAGACATTTTGGGCAGCAATAGTACATAAATGATTTTTATATTTATTAATCTTATTTGAGGGATTTTTAAATTATTAACAAATGAATAAATCAGTGGATATTTGCGGCTTGAATACTTCAGCTTTTTCCTCTGTACTCCTTTTTGTAGGGCTTCCTATGTTTTTAGAATAAGCCTTAAGACACTTTCAGATACTGGTAACCATAAAAATTAAAGTTTTGTCAGTATAACACTGTGAAAGTTATAGGTGCTAGAAAGCTCTTAATGGGATATACAAAAAATATATACTCCCAAGTAGGTTACACTGAGCTAGCTACTGTCGCTGAAGCCAGCACGGTGGCAATGAGGGGGCTGAAAGTAGAGTCACAGCTACACTGGCTCCTTACCTCTGCTTTGAATTTCAAAGACTGATGTTTGTATTCATCCCTTCAGTCATGTAATAATTTAAACTCAGCAATAAAACGTTTTGATCATTATTTTTATGGATCAAGAGTAAAGATACTGAGTAAAAAGGAGCCCTAACTTTTAGAATTAGGAGCTTGTCAGAGAAGTTGAAATCATACGACATACATTCTTTCATAAATGGACACAATGCATCTTATGTTAAAATTGAGTATTTCCAGTGATTTAAAGTTTTACTATTTGATAATTTTGTTTGAGCTTTCAAATTTGAATGCGTTGCTGTGTTCACAAAAAAAAAATTGTTAATACTTCCTTGAAAAATACTGGTAAATTTTCATCTAAAGTAACATCCTTGAGTGTAGTTTATTCTGACATTGGAAAATGTTTAGAGAATAATAAAACAAGGAGTTAAAAAACCTTAAGATCTTGGGAGATGTTACCATACAGAAATGTTTCTGTTCTGAGTTACTCAAATATTAACCTTGGTAAACCTGCTTATTTTTAATTTTGTGATTCAAAAATCATTTTACTACTTACTGTACTTTAGATGGAGAAGAGAAAACCTATGGTGGCTGTGAAGGCCCTGATGCCATGTATGTCAAATTGATATCTTCGGATGGTCATGAATTTATTGTAAAAAGAGAACATGCACTAACATCTGGAACAATAAAAGCCATGTTGAGTGGCCCAGGTAGGTACATGTCTTTATTTTCTCTTAATAAATCTTCACTTTTAGTGTGTTTTTACTTGAATTAAGTGACTCATAACATTAAATGAGACAGTAACTGTTCTAACATTATTGCATGGTTATGTTGCATTGGAAAAATTGATTTCTGCTAGTTCCTGTTTTCAGTTATTTACCCTAATAGGAAGGGTCTTTTCCCTACATTAGTTACCATGGTTAATTTCTTCACTACAGAAGGACTCTGATGGTGATTTGTGCTCCTAATTACATACAAAGTTGATTTTTAGAAGTTACCACTTCCCAAACATCTATTTTTTTTCTTTTAAGATTTTATTTATTTATTTGACAGGGAGAGACACAGAGAGGGAACACAAGCAGGGGGAGTGGGAGAGGGAGAAGCAGACTTCCCGTGGAGCAGGGAGCCTGGTGCGGGGCTCGGTCCCAGGACCCTGGGATCATGACCTGAGCTGAAGGCAGACGCTTAACGACTGAGCCACCCAGGCACCCCTCCCAGACATCTATTCTTAACTCTTTCTTTTTTTTTCCTTTGAGATAATTTTTTTTTTTAACCTCAAGGAAAATTTTTTTTTTTGAGGATTGGAATTTTCTAGAGCATACAATAATACCAATTTTAACCTCTGGAGGAAACACCAAACTGCATAGTAACTGCACCATCTTACATTCCTACCACCATTGTATGAGTATTCTAGTTTCTCCACATTTTCACTGACATTTCTGTTCCCATTTATTTGATTCTAGCCATCCTAATGGGTGTGAAGTGGTTTCTCATTGTATTTTGTTTCAAGATTTATTTAAGAGAGAGGGAGAGAGTACAAGCAGGGAAAGGTACAGAGGGAGACGAGAATCTCAAGCAGAGTCCCCGCTGAGCATGGAGCCCAGTGCGGGACTCAATCTCAAGACCCTGAGATCAGGATGTGAGCGGAAACCAAGAGTCAGACGCCTAACTGACTGAACTACTCAGGCACTTTCCGTTGTATTTTGGATTAGCATTTCCCTAAGGACTGATGCTAAATATCACTTCTGGTGTTTGCTGTACATTTATATATCATCTTTGCAGAAATGTCTATTCAAATCTGTTGCATATTTTTCAATTCAGTTGTGTGTCTTTTTGTTACTGAGTTGTAAGAGTTCTAAATTCTGGACGCTAACCTCTTATCAGACATACCATTTGCAAATATTTTCTTATAACAGTTCTATGATTTTATTTATTAATTTTTAAAGATTTTACCTATTTATTTGACAGAGCAAGCACAAGCAGGGGGAATAGCAGAGGGAGAGGGAGAAGCAGGCTCCCCGCTGAGCAGGGAACCCAATGCAGGGCTCGATCCCAGGACCCTGGGACCATGACCTGAGCTGAAGGCAGCCGCTTAACTAACTGAGCCACCCACGCATCCCCAATTTTATGGTTTTAGCTTTTACATTTAGGTCTTTGATTTTAAGTTAATTTTTGTATATGGTGTCAGGTAATGATTCAGCCTCATTCTTTCTAATGTGGGCTTTCCAGTACCATTTGTTAAAGAGACCATTCTTTCCCCCATTTAATGGTCTTGGCACCTTGTTGAAAATAAGTTAACCATAGCTATGTGGGTTTATTTATGGGTTCTCAACTCTCTTCCATTGAGAGTCCTTTTTTTTTTAATTTCTTTTTCTTTTAAGTAATCTCTACACCCAGTGTGAGGCTTGAACTCAAAACCCTGACATCAAGAGTTGTATGCTCTACCCACTGAGCCAACCAGGTGCCCCATTCCATTGATCTATTCTTACACTAATACCACAGTATTTTAATTACTCTAGCTTTGTAGTAAGCTGTGAAATGGGGAATTGTGAGGCCTCCACTTTTTCAAGATTGTGGCTATTTGAGGTCCCTTGTTTGTTTTGGGGTTTTTTTAGTTTTGATTTAAATTACAGTTAGTATATAGCATATTAGTTTCAGGTGTATAATATAGTGGTTCAGCACTTCAGTGCACTACCCAGTGTTCGTTACAAGTGTATTCCTTAGTTCCCATCACCTATTTAATCCATCCCCCCACCTACCTCCCTTCTAGTAACCATCAGTTTGTTCTGTGTAGTTAAGAATCTGTTTCTTGCTTTGCCTCTCTACTTTTCTCCCCCCTTTGCTCATTTGTCTTCTTTCTTAAATTCCACACATGAGTGAAACTATATGGTATTTGTCTTTCTCTGACTGACTGACTTTGCTTAGCATAGTATTCTAGCTTCATCCATGTTGTTGCAAATGGCAGGATTTAATTCTTTTTTATGGCTGAGTAATAGTCCAGTGTGTGTGTATGCAAGTATGTGTGTATACATACCACATACCACATCTTTATCCATTCATCAATTGATGGATACTTGGGCTATTTCCATAGTTTGGCTATGGTAGATAATGCTGCTATAAATATCGGGGTGCATGTATCCCTTTGAATTAGTATTTTTGTATTCTTTGGGTAAAAACATAGTAGTGCAATTGCTGGATCATAAGGTAGTTCTATTTTTAACTTTTTGAGGAAACTTCATACTGTTTTCCAGTTTGCATTCCCACCAACAGTGCAGGAGGGTTCCCCTTTCTCCACATCCTTGCGAACACCTGTTGTTTCTTGTGTTGTTGACTTCAGCCATTCTTTCTTTGTTTTTTAAGATTTCATTTATTTATTAGAGAGCACAAGTAGGCAGAGCGGCAGGCAGAGGGAGAGAGAGAAGCACGATCCCTGCTGAGCAGAGAGCCCGATTTGGGACTCGATCACAGGACCTGGGATCATGACCTGAGCCAAAGGCAGATGCTTAACTAAGCCACCCAGGTGCCCCCGACATCAGCCATTCTGACAGATGTGAGATGATACCTCATTGTAGTTTTGATTTGCATTTCCCTTATGATGAGGGATGTTGAGTATCTTTTCATGTGTCTGTTGGCCATCTGTATGTTTTCTTTAGGAAAATGTCTATTCATGTCTTCTGCCCATTTTTTAATCACATTATTCAGTTTTTCGGACGTTGAGTTTTATAAGTTCTTTATATATTTTGGATACTCGCCGTTTATCAGGTATGTCATTTACAAATATCTTCTCCTATTCCATAGGTTGCCTTTTAGTTTTGTTGATTGTTTCCATTTGAGGTCACTTATAATTCCTTTTCTATATTTTTTACTATGGAGATTTTAAAACAGATGTAAAAATAGAATAGTATGATACACTTCCATGTACCCGTCAACCAGCTTCAGTTTTATCAGTGTTTTGCCAATCTTATTTCATCTGTTACCATTTTTTTTATGAGTATTTCAAGGAAATAAGTCCCTGCTAGTGTCATTTGACTTGCAAAATCTATGATAGTTCCCCTGCATGCTCCCTTTTTTTCAGATCATGAATTTTTTGGAGAAACACGGTTATTTGTAAAATGTCCACATCTAGATTAGACTTCATGTTTCATCTTGTAAGCTTATAATTAGAACTCTAGAGGCTTGATTAGAATCCAGTTCATTTTTCTAGGTAAGAGTACTTTATAGGTGGTACTACTGTATCCCTATTGTCTCAATCTTTTAGCAATGTCAAGATTGATTAGTGGGTTCCAGGATCAGCAAGCTGATTCATTCATCTATGAACAGTTCTGCAGTCAGATTTTCATAATGCTTGTAGCATTCATTGTAATTATTGCTGAGATTTACTTCATTTGGAATTACAAAACAGTGATTTTCTAATTCTTATATCTTCTGCATTTATTAGTTAGAATTCTCCTATAAAGAACTATTTGGTTATCCTGAAATATACTCTTTATAGCAAAGAAAAGATAAATGCTTGATTTTTTTTTTTCCCTTTACATATATTTCAGTGTAATGAAGTGATTCTTCAGCATCCTCCAGTAGCAAAGAGTATTTTGTTTTTTGTTTTGTTTTTTTTTTTGGGGTATCATTTTCAACTTGTGACTTTTTACTATTTTAATTTTTTTTTAAATCTAGTGCAGTCCCCCTCATGGTGCTCATATTGCCCCCATTTGCTCCATTTTTATGCCAGAAGAAGCCACATCAGGTTGGCTCCTGTGTCCTTTTGACATGGCTCTGGTAGTCTTGGATAGCTATACTACTTTCTATAATAAGATTTCTCAGGCTTATTTGATACATTATTCTCTAATCTTGGAAACACATTTTTCCAAAGAGCTGTTTCTTGTAGTAGAAAATGGTACTTAGGAGCCCCAGTCTGGTTGTTAGCAGTACTCATTGCTTATGGGTTGAATTACTTTTGGACTTTTCTGCTGGGTATAGCTAGGATGTACTTTAGAAAAACAAGGTCATGGGTGTCAACAAATTTTAATTAATAATAAAATTAAAGATGTTTGTTTTTTGTAAGCTTGATCTCCTTTAGTTTATCTGCAGCCCAAAACTAATGTTTGCATAAAAAGGAATGAAGTACTGATACATGCAACCTTCAAAATCTGATGCTAAGTGAAAGGAGCCAGACACAAAAGGTCGCATGTGGTATGATTCCATTTGTATAAAATATCCAGAATAGATAAATCCATAGAGACAGAAAGATTGGTGTTTGGCAGAGGCTGGGGGGTGGGAAAACTGTTTAAAGGGTATGGGGTTTTATTTTGGGATGGTGAGAATGTTTTGGAACTAGATAGCAGTGGTGGTTGCACAACACATTGAATGTACACTGAATTGTATACACTGAAATGGTTAATTCTATATTATATGAATTTCACCTCAAAAAACCCCAATGTTTGTCTAATATCAAAAGCTTACTGGGCACCTGGGTGGCTTAGTGGTTAAGCGTCTGCCTTCAGTTTAGGTCATGATCTCAGGATCCTGGGATCGAGCCCCACATCAGGTTCTCTGCTCAGCAGCAAGTCTGCTTCTCCCTCTCCCTCTCCCTCTGAGATCTCTCTCACTCTCAAATAAATAAATAAAATCTTTTAAAAGAAAAAAAGGTTACTAAGCATCTATTGGTAATATTTCATGCATATGTTCAAGAAAGAGAGTTTTAGTCATTGACAAACCAAACTTGACCTCATTGCTATGAATTCTTCATTCAGTTCTGCTCTCCTTTCTTCTCACCCCACCCCCAACTAATAGACAGTTATTAGAAAACTTTTTAAAAACTACATTCTCAGAAAGCACATTTTTCTACCTTTTATATTCAGTACACAGTGCTAGTGCTAGACTGCTAAGAAACTATTTTATTCCTCTAGTAAATGCTAAATGCTGTAAACTCTATATAGCTAAAGAAATTTTGAGAGATCATTAAAAAGTTTATACAGTGTTAACTAAAACAGGGGCGCCAGGGTGGCTCAGTTGTTAAGCGTCTGCCTTCGGTTCAGGTCATGTTCTCAGAGTCCTGGGATCCAGCCCTGCATCAGGCTCCCTGCGTCAGGCTCCCTGCTCCGCGGGAAACCTGCTTCTCCCTCTCCCACTCCCCGTGCTTGTGTTCCCTCTCTCGCTGTGTCTCTCTCTGTCAAATAAATAAATAAAATCTTTAAAAAAAGAGCTTTGAGGGGCGCCTGGGTGGCTCAGTCGTTAAGCGTCTGCCTTCGGCTCAGGTCATGATCCCAGGGTCCTGGGATCAAGCCCCGCATAGGGCTCCCTGCTCCGCGGGAAGCCTGCTTCTCCCTCTCCCACTCCCCTTGCTTGTGTTCCCTCTCTCGCTGTCTCTGTCAAATAAATAAAATCTTTAAAAAAAAAAAAAGTGTTACTAAAACAAAGGGAAATAGCTTATGAGGAGCTCACCTTAACATAATCATAATTTTGAAAACTAAAGGGGGAAACAATGGGTTTGCTTTCTTGAGAAAATGTTTTTAAATAGCATTACATTTATTATTTATTTTTACATGGCAACTCATTATAGCACAGGGCTCCTGACGATCCACAAAGACTTGATCCTTAAACTGGATCTTCTAAAAGATTTGTCTTTTTTTGTATCCTATTCACCCTTACTTAATCATGCCACCATGATTCTTAGGAAAAGCTGAAGTGTCCAAAGTCCTGGAAGAAAATTAGAATTTTAAAATACAGTCTTGATTAATCTCAGTTGCGATCTTAATAAAGATTTTTTTATATTTATACTCAGAAATCGGAGTTATGTTATTTCGTTTGATGCTAGTTGGGTTCATTCTTTTCACGTTGTTATTAGTTTGCTAGGGCTGCTGTAACAAAGTACCATGGACTGAGTGATTTAAACAATAAAAATTTACTTTCTCATAATTCTGAAGGGTAGGAATTTGAGATCAAGGTATTGGTAGGGTTTCTTCTGAGACCTCTCTCCTTGCCTTGATGGCTGTCTTCTCCCTGTGTTCTTCACATTGTGTTCCCTCTGTGTGGCTATAAATTAACCTCCTGTTCTTATAAGGATACCAGTCATATTAGATTAGGGTCCACTCTAATAATCCTGTTTTGTCTTAATTACCTCTTCAAAGACCCCATCCATGGGTCATTTAGCAGCACCTATACTAAAACTGGAATGATACAGAGAAGATTAGCATCGCCCCTGTGCAAGGATGATACACAAATTTGAGAAGCATTCCATGTTTTAAAAATGTTTCCTGAACAGAAAAAAAAGAGGGGGGAAAAAGATCCTATCTCCAAATACGGTCACTTTTGGAAGTACTGAGAGTTAGGACTTCCCAACATAAGAATTCATTCAGCCTATAACAAACCTACTCCTTTTCTTTTACAGGTCAGTTTGCTGAGAACGAAACTAATGAAGTCAATTTTAGAGAGATTCCTTCACATGTGCTATCAAAAGTATGCATGTATTTTACCTACAAGGTTCGCTACACTAACAGCTCCACAGAGATTCCTGAATTCCCAATTGCACCTGAAATTGCACTGGAACTGCTGATGGCTGCGAACTTCCTAGATTGTTAAATAAAATAAATTATAATAAACTGTTAACTTTTTTCAGTATTTAATACCTGTAGTTCAGTTAGTAATTTTTTCATATATAGCATGTTGCCTGTGTGCAGCTGAACTTTAAAGTTCATTGCAAAGCAGATTATCTTCTGTTCTTTTGCATAGCAATCAGTTGAAATTTGTTTGCTACATCAACAAATTAAGGACATTTTCACAAATTGAGAAATAAACAAATATGCCAATTCGTAGGTGGTTTTGCCTTATCCTTTGGATGTGATTTTTAAAATTAGAGCAGTGGTGATATAGTAAATACTGAAATTTAAGCATATATGAACACATTCTACAGGTAAATAATGGGGCTACGTATTTTTGTGTTTTCAGTGTTTTTTTTTTTTAAACCTATTCTGATCGTATAGCCGTTGTTAGCATTACTAGAGTTATGCAAATGCATTATAAACATGTTTATAACTTAGCCAAAACATTGATTTTTATAACTGTCAAAGACATAAGAGGTGATATTTCTTATGTGTCTTTTGATAAACTGCAGCATTGTTTAAGTGTATCTTGTCTTTTTGTTTATTTAAAGCTACAATTTAAGAACTTTATTTAAAAGCAATTTTGGAAGATTACTAGGAATAGCTTTTGGAGCAATCACTTTTTGAACTATAGCCACATGGTCAACAAGTAAACTACATGACTGATTTCATATGCATTGTGCATTTTGGCCAATCCAAAGTACTGTATTTCATTGACTATAAAGCTTCCTTCGCAATATTCATTCTTCTTAAATAGTCCCTTGTGACTGCACTTCTGATTATTTAAATATGTTTTAAAGGATTCATTATGGACTTTATTCAGCTCTTAAAAGCTAGACTTTTCTGAACTATTCCAGTCTTCCTCCAACCAACTGAAATGTTATGAAAAAATTTAAAAACGTGGAGTGATACAGTGCAAATCTTACAATGCACTTTGATGTAGTTTATGAATTATCTTCTATTAATTAAAATATGTCCCAATAAGTATGATACCCATAATCTGTGGGTCTTTTACTGAAATCAGACTTAATAAAGAGGTCATTCAGCTTTTATACTAAACAGACAAAAAATTTGAAAAACTATGACAGAGCACCTCTGCTTAGGCATGGGAAAAGGAGCACTGGAGTAGGGTTTATTATTATCTCTATCTTAGTAATAAAACAAAGCTGTCATTATAGGAGATACATAGTTAAGCCTTCAGCTTAGTTCTTTAAGACTGGTTTAATATGGGCCAGTTTTTCTGGAACCTGCCAAGAACATAAACAGCCAAGATCTAGAAAAGTAATTTTTCCTCATAGAAGACCTAACATTGTACTTTCCAGCTTACTGAAAGCAATTAAATATGTTAATTGCATATATTTTAGTAACTTCTCAAGACATACTGGTACATATTTTAGTATAGAAGATTATCAAGTACAAGAATTATATTCTGCTACTTGCTGACAAATAATATCAAAAACCTAAATGATGATCTTAAAGGTCAAAGCGACAACTAGAATAAAGTTCAGCTTTGACCAGTTTTAGTAGGTTACTCTATGTGTTAGATCCAGAAGTAACCTTAAGTTTAAAATATTGAAATAGAGCAAAGATTAGGAAAAACTGTATATCTTGCGGCAAATGATACTTGCATGTTAATAAAGGCTCTTGACTGAAAGGTTTGATGAACACTTGGTTTTTGATCTTTTTAACTTTAATTTTCTCTTTCTCCTGAGAATTCATGAAACTACTTGCTTCAGGACATCTTGTCATATGATTTAGTAGCAAGAATTTTTACTTGGTTAAATCAAAGAGATAATTTTATATAGCATTGAAAACAGTTTTCTGACACTTGGTAATTAGTTTACTTTCCAAATTATGGGCAGATCTGCCCAACTTTCTTTTTTCTGCACACAAACTATTACCACAAAATCTTGTTTTATTCAGTTAATATTTCATTTCTATACTAAGATTACCTTACGCTTTTTAGATTGCTTATCTTTCATGCAGTTATTGACAAATGACATTCTCCTTACTTTTGAAGTCTTGTTGATACTAAGAAATACAATTCACCGTAAGCAGTAAATTCAGCTCATGTTAAAAGAGAAATACATTTAGAGACATCTTGCTATGCATGGAATGGTCATCTTAGTGTGAGCCATATGCTAAATTTATCAATTTTCAAAATATTTCAGATATTCTGAGAAATAATATAAAACTGCTATTAAAGATTGAAGAGTGTTTAACCCTAGTAATTCCTATTTATATAATTTTCTATAAAGAAATTTCATACAACTTAAAGTTTGGACGTATCCAGACTTAGAATGCTAAGTTGAGCTTTTGATTGGTTATCTCTAAGTTTGATACGACATTTAAGATCTGGAAATCAGTAAATGCCATTGGATTTTTTTTTATATGTATGGTGTTTTATTTGCAATATATAAAAGTTTTAATTCCAAGCCAGTCATATTTGTGCCAAGATTTTACATTTCTATTAGGTTAAACTCTTAAATTTTGTACCTAATGATCTCTTGGTTTAAGCAAATATTTATTAACCCAGTTTTGTGTTAGGGCACAAAACTGGGAGTTAAAGTCTGAAATCTTGTGTTAACTAGCCATGTGATCTTGAACAAGTTACTGGGCCTTAATTTTACATTTAGAAAATTAGGAGATTGCACATTAATAGGGTGATAATGTTTACCACATTAATTTTCTTAATGAACAAACAAGATTGTGTTTGTGGATATTGCTTAAATCCAAGATCACAAACATTACAGATGATAAGATTAGGATTATAAATGAGAGAAAATGGTTTTGTTGCATCTCTTAAATAATACTCTAAATTTGTTTCACTGCTTTTGATTAAGTATTAAATACCATACATCAGTACTACATATATTAATAATTAGTTTAGAATCCTTGTAGTTGTTTTCTATTGCCTGCTACATAAAGAAAATTCAATTTTAGTTTTGGTTACCAATAATTGTTAATATAAAGGGAATATTGGCTGTTTTCATGCCAGTATTACATAATGCAAGTTCAACCCAAAACTCATTTTTCATTCATACCCTAAATTAGTAACTTACGCTGAAATAGATACATGTGTAAATTACTTATAACAGTTATATGATTTTAGCTTTTACATTTAGGTCTTTGATTTTAAGTTAAATTTTGTATATGGTGTGAGGTAATGATTCAACCTCATTCTCTCTTATGTGGGCATCCCAGTACCATTTGTTAAAAAGACTATTCTTTCCCCCATTTAATGGTCTTGGCACCCTTGTTGAAAATTTTAAAGTTGCTTTGAGATAGAACTTATGTCTTAATCGTCAAATTGTTCTGTAAGTTTTGTGTTTGTTATTACTCTTATATAGGACCCAGGGGCATCAGAATTAGATTTTTTCCCCTCTGTAGTACTAGATGCTTAGAGTCATTTTTAATATAAAAATATCTTGTAAGGTTTACCTAGGTATAAGTTTATATGTTAAGGCCTTTATTTGTGATAAGATCTATTGCTTCATTATTTAGAGAAGCATGTATATGATGATAGCTTAGGATAAGAAAAATTCAAATTTCATGACTTTTTATTCAACCAGAATTATCTAAAATTTTTTAATCAGCCTTTTACATCATGAAGTAAGGCTTGTGATTAATTCCGTCTATGCATATCAATTAATCTAGTTCCACTGTTGGATTTTTTTTGTAATACATCACTAGGATATTAACTATAAGGCATGTTAAATTTTGATGCAAATTTATCAAATATATTTTACTTTTGAGTCAGTGTAGTGTCATTTTTGTGAATCCCATCTCAAGTATAATTTTGAATTGGAAAGCACATTTTCTTCAGACTATTAAAGACAATTTTTGTCTTTCCATAATTTCATTCAGCCACTTTTGAACAAAATGCCTGTTTCTTTAGTTTCTTACAGCCATCATTTGGATCAATCAGTATGTTGCCTTTTGCTATTTGGTTTTTATTTTGATGAAGATCTAAGACAAAATTTATAGTTCAGCAAAGATCACAAGCTAATCTATGGTGAGATTCTAGGTTCAGATTATAGTTCAAATTAGAACAAACATGGTGCTTAGATTCTAGAGGTGACCTATGAATCCTACATCCAGAAAAGGAAGTGATATTTTTTAGAGTATTTCAATATACACAATATTGAAATGGTAGAATTGAGATAGGTAATGCATGAGGTGTGCCTATGAAATATTAAATGCTTAAGAAATATATAACATTTCTATCTAAATGAACATTATCCTTCACTTAGTAGGGCTATTGTTCCTCAAAATGTTTCCAGATTTCAGAGTTTATAATGTCCTTTTGAATAGCCTCATTAGTGGGAGATGCTTTTCTTTAAATGTTTTGCAATAGCCAATAAATATTTTTTATCTAAACCTACTGAATAAAGGTAAGTGGCCAGGCTGGTTCAGGAAGAAGGTATATAACTAGAAGAACTAGAGGAGCTTTCTCATATAGCCAGTAATCTGGTTCAGGTATCATGGCATGTCACAAAAACTATAAGAATGTAGCAGCATCAAAGTTGTAATTCAAATGGATTTTATAAAATTGCTCTTTTACAATGCAGCACATCTCCATTACTTTGCTTAAAGTAGACAGGGTTTAAGCATTGTGCTTCCAACATTTTGTTGTTGTTTTTTTCCAACATCACACTGAAAGACATTTTTCCTGTTCTGGGCAAGAATAGGCTCTATCTGGTAAAATCCTTCAACACTGAAGTTACTCTGATGAAAACCTATTCCTAAAGAATTGAGCCCAGGAAGTTACACTGACTAGTGAAATGGCTATACCAAAGTTATAAAAGGCCAAAAGCTTGTGAAACTAATGAAACTACAATTTATGAGATTTGTTTTTGAATGCAACTGTTATTCTTTTCCTAGTGGCAATTTTTGCCTTATGTACATCTAAAAACTAGATTGTAAGACAGCAGGGATGAATGGGGAGAATTATTTTTTTAGGTGGTGATCTGTTACCTTTCCTAGTGCCCAGCACAGCACCTTTACATTGCAAGCATTCAATAAATGTTGAGTTGAAGCAAACTCACTGGTGTGTAAAGGTAGTGTCTCAGTCATATTCCACAGCAACCTTAAGTTTTATATCTTAACTACAGATATGTAAATGTTGAAATAAAATATTAGTCTGAGACTAACTGGAGATAACTGTATGTCATCTGGTCTGCCACTTGCAGGGAAGAGTACTGAATGGGCAGGCAGGAAAGCTCGGTTCAAGACCATTAATGATCCAGCTTGATGTCCTCCCATGAAAAATAAATAGTAGTCTCTGAATAAATTACTCCAAAGAAGATACACAAATGACCAGCAATACAGGCAAACCTGCTCAAGTCAGAAGTCTTTAGGGAAATACTAAACCAGAATAAGATACTTTACATCCACTATGATAGCTATAATATTTTTTTAAAGGACAGTAATAAATATTGGCCCAGATGTGTAAAAATTGCAACTTATAAATTCCAGGTGTGAATGTAAAATGGAGCAGCTGCTGTAGAAAACAGTTTGGCACTTCAAATAATTAAATGGAGAGGTTCCAGTTCAAGATGGCAATGTAGAAGACTGAACACACCTCCTTCAGGGAACACGCCAAATTACATCTATTAACAGAAAATTGCTCCTGAAGAAGAACTGAAGACTGAACAGCTACTCAACAACAAAGAGAGAACAGCAAGAGAAATGGAAACATGCCACATTTCAAAAGACTAGTATATCTGGCTAGCCAGCAAAAGTCACTAAACACACATAATCTGCATAGGGGACCCTATACACAAGACCACCACTTCAACGTTAGGAGAAGTAGCCATTTCACCCAATTCATAGAAACAAAATCAAGCAAACTGGGGAGATAGGAATATATTCCA